AACGTTAAACTAGCAACAACACCAGCACCTCCAACGAGAGATAAAGCGGCGTCAGAAGTGGCTGCAAGTCCACTTAGTCGATCGGCTTCGGTTAATGTTTACGTCGATGCAGTCCGCATAACCAACCCACCTTAGCCCCTCTTGAGCGCTCTACGCCCCTCTCGACCACCGTCTTCCCCCTTAGGTGACGAGTCACATTATTAGACGAAGATCTATATGGCAAGTGGAAAAGGCAGCGACAAGAAGAGATAGAGAAAGGAGGAACGCAAAAAAAAGGGAAAGCATGAAGGGAAGAAGTGCCGTGGAGCCTGGGAGGGAAGGCTGATTAAGATGTTTGTTGGGGGAACGAGACGGCGGGCAGGCGCACTAGTGAAATGAGAGCAGACAGACTCATATTGACCTATAGAAACGACCATTGAAAGGTGACTAAATATATTCAGCTATCATCGTCGTCATTCACTATCATAAGGTCATAAAACGGATAGAACTGCCAGATACTTACCACAAAGGGGAGACTCCACCTTGTCAATTTTTTGATGCGCTGATAAGTCGAATTGTAAACCTAGTACACAAGTCAGTGGAGTGCTTAGGATAAATTAAACGAAAAATTGCCGAACTCTCTGCTTCATATATGTATATATATTTTTTGTCTGCGATGCAAGACCAAGGAAGAGTTGCAAAACCGTAAAAGAGTAAAACTTGTATTGATAACAGCAAGCTATATTAAAGATATATTTAGACTACAATGTCTGGCCGTGTTCTTCAGGTTTGATATATCTGTTGTTACCATTGCAATGATATTCTTTAGAAGTATTTCCACATTCTTCATTATGGCACAGTCTGCCGAGTTCATTTTTAATACGTGCAACTTAGGTATAGTTCGTAGGTGCCTAGAAAAAACATAAATCTCTTTACTCAAGTATTTAAAACTTCTATATATATAATCTGTATAATGAAGCAAAAAGATGTCTGCAGATTTATAGAGAACTCAGTGAGCTCTACAAGATTGTTTTGCTACAGTCCAGAATCAGGCAGATCAAGCAGCGTTTCGCTGTTCATTGCGCCAGAGAAACGTGAAAAAAGGTTTTCCAATGGGTTCCCCGTAGCCGAAGTCTAGCCTAGGAGGTTTCTCAAAGCTTACGCGACATTTCAGGCGCTAGGGATTCGTTGGCAAATCCTTTAGTATTTAAAATCAACAAAAAACTGCTGGGTAGTATCGTATGTAAAAATACTTTATTTTTCGATTCTTTCTGCACATTATGACAATAATGGAAGTTCTCATGGGATCTAAAGGAACGTGTATATGGTCACTCCTTCTAGTAAAAAGAAAAAGTAAACGGTACATGCGCAAATGCTATGAAACAATTATCAGTAACTTACTTAAAAGGAAAACAGATAGCTAATAACGGTTTATTATAGTATTTAGTGGAACAGCAACCTTTATTTCACGTAATATTCAATGTACAAATATAAGAACTACATGTCGAATGCAAAATAACGGTACTGAGAAAAATCAAGGTTTCGATAGAAAAAAATAATATTTGAAAATAAGATTTTGGTAGTTCAATCGTATTTTTCGAGTATTTTTGGTTATTGGAGAGGAACTGCATAATCGATGTACGCAGATACATCGACCATACAGAAACCACAGAAAGTAAACCGGAGTCGAAAACAGATAATTGTGGACGTTTTTGTTTATACCTGTTATTACTTCTCTTGCAATTCACCCTTCCCTCAGCAGTGCTACAGACTCAGGAAGTGGCTACCCGAAACAGCTGAGCTCTTCAGAGATGACCACTAGGGCATCCCTGCGTCTTTTGCGTTAGACATAGTTGATGCCAACTAGCTGTCGTCCTGCAGGCTGACGTTTGGCTCCCTTGACACATTCAGCTTTCTCTTTCTGGCTAACATGTCTAGCAGATCCTGCCACGGTGCCATTCTAAGTGGGTTGCGGTTATTATTCACTGGGTTCAGTGGCCTTTAAAGCTCGCTTCGCCCCGCAGGAGAGAAGATGTTGTCCTGCGTTTTTTGTCTTCCCTTATCCTTTGCGCTCATAGCATTTTCGAAGCCATCGTACTCCGCCGCCTGCTTTGTTGCGGTAGGCTCAACTAACGGATCGTTGGAGTCTTATACGCACGAATTTTGAATATTTAAAAACCTCAAAAAAGTCGAACTAGCGTTTATGTCGGTAACTGTATTCATGAGACGCTTTAGTTCTCACGCGTCATTGGCAGATAAATGCATAAGCACAGTTTAGAAAACATATTGCAAGGCAATACTAATTCTCATTTCCTAATAGTTATATTTATTTAGGTATAGGAACTAATAAGCACAAAAACAGATATTCTTTTACGCCTACGTTTGATTTGTAGTCGAAGGGATTCTATGTTTATTTGGACACATAAATTTAACAACCTTGACGAGATTTTCTTGCCTACCATGTCTTTACTTAAAACTGCAATTTTTGATTCGCTAGTCGTACATCATGAACTAGCGGTGATACGTATGAATAGATGGTGGGCATTAAGGATTAAGGAACTCTGTGTAGATGTCGCACAAGGTGTTCATTTATGACGAAATGGCGAAAATTAATATACAGCGTTATCATGCATCGGGCGAAACGGCACTCTCCATTCATCCTAACAACTTAAGGGAATCTGGTGATTAAAAAAAAAGCGATCGTTTTTTTACATGCTTAGTAATTTTTGCAATGTCGACTGAGGGTCGTTAGCGTATGCACCCTCTTATCATTGTCAATAAGCTATCCAAACATGTCCAGAAAATTTATAGATCGTCTACCGCACACAGTATACCTCTAAGTCTCGAGTTTTACGTGCGGTATCGCCGTTAGACATGCCGTCAGAGGGATGGCTCCCTGTACGGATCGAACCATGTGTCTAAATCGGGGGTTCGAATCTAGATCACAACGCGTCCTTAAGACTGGCAGGCAAATACGCTACCTACTAGGTCCTCACGGAGACGCACACAATATAGCTAAATAAATAGTCTCAAGTCACCGACGGATGAGCAAAAGCAACAAGGACGTTGACAATTTAACTAACCCCATAATTCTCTATCAGTATTTTCTCAGTGGATCTGATTATTTTTAAAAAATCACAATGCAATTTTCACTCGCTCAATTAAATGCCTCTCAAATAACTAAAATCTGAACGCGTGCTCGGTTATTTTTGATACTGATGATAAAATGATTCAGAACAAAATCCGTAATGTTTGTTTCCATCACCCTGTGCTTTTTCATCACTATGGCGGAAGAACTTCACCAGGTATGGAACTTAACAGTACTAAATTATTTGACAAAACGTCGCCAGTTTACGTAAAATATTGTTGACTGGTGGAAAAAAAAAGCTTTGAATATATATCCCTATTATGAGCTTGACATGTTTCCTACGTTTCTCAGACGCATAAACTGAACCATTCGCTCAATGATTACAAAAGTACTACACACATTAGATGATTGTAGGGAACTAGAAAAGCTAAAAATCATGTAGGTCCCATTGTGGCCTTCACTGTTTGAAGTATAATCTTATTTCTTAGTTACTGATTTTGTCGATTTCTAAATTTACTTATTATTGTTGTTGTTTACCCTTGCTTCTTCTGCATTTGTTGTCTCTCAGAGCTGAAAGCTCTTTACCACTTCATTTTGTTTTGCCGCATCAGGTTCGAGTATAACAGTACGAATATGTGATTTGAAGTATCTATAACTTCATATTTAATAATTCGGAGATGTAAATTAGCGAATGAGACGATGGCTAAAGTTGTGGATTGACTATATCAGACAGGTAGGTATCTCTATACACTAAATACTTACCCCGTGAGTATGTATTGTACCAAAATGCCAACTGTGAACCTCCTGAATAGCCCCAAGCTAGCAAGATTTGCAAATAGTTACTACTTTAACAAATCTACTTTAAGCTGCTGCTAAGTTACTTTTGGCCGTTATGCAAAACCTGAACAGTTTGGGAAAAGTGGCAGTGGACGGCCGATAATTGACAACAGTAAGTATATAGTCGGCGGCAAGAAACAAAGCTCTCAAATATGTAAACCTAATTGCTTAGAGTCTTTGCAGTTTGCATACTATTATTACTATTATCGGCTCCTCATTTCTTTCGTATAGTTGATAAATATAAACTGTTAATGAGGCTTCCAATTACGTGCAATCTCTACGAGCAACATATAACGAAAAACCTTTAGCCTTTGCCCTAACCGGGAAAATAATTTGATGCTCAGCCGTTCGAAACGCCCCAAATCTATTTGTAAATTGCCTTATTCGTAGCAGCGGTGATAGCCATTTCATAAAGATCAAACAAAATGTGTCTCTCTGCTAGCAACAATAGGTACACTGTTCTGCAAGACAATGAGGGAGTGATGATTGGGGCTGCGGGGAGGTGATCTTTAGCATGTTCACGGTAGCATCGTGTTGGATAGGTGCAGCCAGATGTGGGGCCTTGCTCCATGTGTTAGTCCACCATGCTTATCTAACTGGAAGCGGCAGGGTAGTGGTAACGGAGGCCGCTCGAGGAAGGACCAGGGACCCCCCAGTAGCCTGTGTCAAGAGAGAAGGGCAAAGAGGAGGGGAAGGGGAGGGGGAGGGGTTCGGTTGTGTATGGGGAACGTTGGTAAAGGGAGAATCGGGTAAGGGTACGCATGTAAGGACGTCGGGGATCAGGGAAATCGGGCGTTTTGGCGGGAGGAGGGGCCAGGTGCCTTGAGGCCGAATGGGAGGGAGAGGGTGAGACAAGAGGGCGAAAGGTGCCCGAAGGAGAGCAGCGTAGTGAAAGGGGCACACATAGGGGGCGGAGGGATAGGGGGTAAGAGGCAACAAAGGGGCTGGCAGGCCGCTAAACGGCGGGCGGGCGTTCGTTCGGGCGTTCTGCGAACGGGCTGGGGCCTTGGTGCCATGGTGGCGCCGCTGCTCCAGAGAAACAGCGGAGGGTTGTTGGTGAGGGCCCGCATTTACCAGAGTTGTATTCTGCCCACAGAACGTTGGTGACCATCGTCGGCAGAGGAGGAGTCGAGTCTCGGAATCCAAATTCTGGCGATTGTTCTGAGGAACGAATACTGCTGCTTCTGCTGCTCCTGCTGCTCCTGAGCGGACGGTGAGGCTGTCGCGTGACCTCGAACCGTGGCGTCTTCGTCGTCGTCGTTGGACCATTTCCTACCGACAGCAAAACTGCTGCACCTCTTCGACAAGGAGTTTAGTGTGTGTGCATGTGTTTTTGCCTGGCCGTGTGAAAGTGAACAACGACGAGCCGAAGAAATTCACGTCAACTGATTGCTAGAACTTTCTGAAAAATACGAATACGTTGGTGCATTTGCGTCGCAACTGTTTATAAAAAGAACGTGGGCCTTTGACCGTCCAGCCAGTGAGACAACAGGCAGACGACACCAGGACCAAAGAGAAAAAGAAAAACAAATCAACAAACAGCGTCGATCAACAAACCATCAGTCGAAGAAGAAACTGACGGGCGATGCTCTGAGCATTCCTTCGTGATCCCCTTCTGAGGTGAGTTAGTTGCTACGCCCGTCGCCTTCCTCTGTTCCTCCCTACCCCCCCCCCCCCCCCCAAAGCCTATGAGGTTTCATCGTCGACAGTCTTATTTATAGTGTTCCTCCTCCTACAACCACTCTTCTACAATATTAATATGTTATCCAAATATTATTTCCCTATTTTTTTTAGTTAAGGATGATTTTAGCCATGACAGCTTTATTGACCCCTCTAATATCTTAACCATTATTCGGATCAGCGACCGCAGCCCCATGCGTGCGGGCTTCCATCAAAAGTCCAAAATAAACATCACTTTAAGAGAGCGACCCAAGTTGACCGTTGTGTAACTTTTTCCCATTGTCTCATGTCACTTATTTTTTCAATGCTACCGAACAGAGACTGCGTGATCTCAATTATAGGTCTATGCTATTTCGTGAATTCATAATAATACCAGTAGTAATACGCCTAGTCGAAAATGAAATATGATTGCTCCACCCAATTATCCTAACGATCGTCACCTTTGATCGTCCTCATCGATCCCATCTTCTTTCTAAAAAACCTGCTATCAATCAGATATGCAAACGAACCTTTTGTGCTGTTGATGAGAACCAGTGGTACATGCCGGCAGTCATAGTGTTGTCGTCCCTAAGATAGCATTTTGCATCCCATCAGCAATCGAGCGAAGGCAAAAGAAAGACTTAACAGCGAACGGGAAAAGAGGGGCACACTAAACCGGGGAAAGAGAAGAGGAATAAATGGGACCTAAAAAATTAAAAACGCCTTCTTCCTTCAAGTGCATCCGTCTTGTAAACGGATAGATGGGTCTGCGTGTATGTGTGTCTGTATAGCCAGCAGTAAGAGAGCGAAGTGCAAAGGCAGCCGTCCTCGGGTATCTGCGTACCACGTGGCCTGTGCCAGCCTCAGCCAGATGCGAAGAAACGCTACCATCACTCAACGGTCCCCACACCAAAAGCCCCACTCCCTGGCTACCTCGCTTGCTTGCTGACTGTCTGGTTAGTCGCCGGCTGCTCTGCGTTCCCTTCCGCCCTGCTATTCTAGAATCGCCGACAGGCCCATTTAGTTGCTTTGTTCTCTGTTCTCCACTACCACGTAACCACTCCGCCCCCCCCCCCCCCTCCCCCTGACACCAGCATCACCCGTGTGCTCTTGTCTGTATTCCGCCCCACCGACGGCACTGGCTGGGCGCGGCAACCAGGCAGACGACAGGCAGGAAAATGCCATTGGCCCAATCGAAAATCGCAAACTTCGTTCTCTTCGGTGTATGGATGTGTTCGATCGATCTTGTGCCATATCTGCTATCGTTGTTCGGTGTCCGTTGCTACTGTGGATGATGCTACTACTACCGATGATGATGATCATATATGTTTATTACCGTTGTTATTAATATTAATGTGGAGCTACCGCCTGTTTCTACTTCCGCCGAAATCGTCCAGAAGCTACCTCACTCGGATACAACTTACTGTTGGTAGAGTGTCCTTGCCAGTTGAATGCCTCTGGAGGGCGGCTTCATCCCAGTGCGTCGTCATAGTAGTTATTAGCAAATGCTGTCAATGTTCCACGACCGCCTTTGGATTATGTCAGCCCTTTCAGCACCATTAGCCGTTTGTTCTTCTTCTTCTTCTACTTCTTGCTGCTAAGTTGTCTTCTCACGGCCACCATCCAGTGAATAAGCAACGCCATCGCTATGTCAGGGGTTGTCGAAGTCACGTAGACGCTGTCACACTTCGGTATGTATTCTTTGCTTCAAATTATTATTACTAGCATCATTATTGTTGCTATCGACTAATTAATTAGCCGTAAATTTTGACAGAATCGAACAATTCCTACTGCGGTTTCATCGAGAATATTAAAACCGCACTCGTCGGTGCCACGTTTGAATATCCATGTAACTTTTTAGTAACGGCAATTGAAAGCGCGTAAAAGTAAGTTGTCTGTGTGCATGTGAATACCTGGGTAGCCAATCGGTAAAACAAATCGACTGTGGATCTAAGCAATGGCTACGGTTACAGAATACCGAAGCAGTCACTGCTGATGATTAAAATGGCGCTGGCAATACGCGCCAGCTAGCGACTCAAATACCGCAGGGGGAGGGGGTGGGGTCAATGAGGTAGCCAACAAGAGCTGGCACCCACTTCGGCAAAGCACCACCGACCCACAACTACCCCTAGTTGAATTCCATTTGGGCAAAATGAAATGAGTTCCGTCGTCGGACCCAACTGCTCTCCGCCTCTTACTCGTGGCCCCGAAACTATAGTTGTGAATCGATTGGCGGCTTCATACTCAAATACGAAATGACATTTTGCAGTAGTGAAGATAGTAGGCAGCGATGCCGATAGTCGATACGACTTTCCTCAAACGACCCTGGTCCTTAGGAATATAGTTTTCATTCGATTTTACGCTGACTTTTCCAATAGCCGTTCAGAGAGGACAAATAACGCCATGTCGTTAAAAAGTACCTTTAGATACTTCGATTGGCGCGCTTTCAAAGGCCGAAGTTTGGCTTGTATAAATGACAAAGGCTACACATGTGTAATCTTCTCATGACCCATTACGAGGTTAAATCTTCGGCAGTTTTTAGAGCCATCGGTGTACGATGTCACCAGTCAATGTACACGTCTGTTTCAAAAGCCTTAACTTAAGAACGCAGTCACAGCCTAGGTCCCTTACATTTTTAGTGACATATATATGGTGTTCTTTGATACGCTTCATAGTTTAAATGGAAAGAACTGGCAGTCTGAGGAAGAGGGTCTTTCACTGGTGTATTCTCGGTCCTCCTATTTAAACAGCCGACGGCTTTATTATATCGGGGAGGGGGGGGGGGATCAGTCTACAATAATGATTGAGCTGCATGAGGTAGGCTGAGTATGTTGTGGCAAAACCGCCGTAGCACGAAAATTCAAAATGTATGTATAACTGTTGTTACTAGACCTACTAGTCGATTACAGAGTGTAAATTCAATTCTTCTAATCTGTCTTTTGACAGACCTGATTATACACCCAAACGACCACCTATCACACCTCAGCGGTAACCGAACATACATAGCAACAGGGATTCATTCATCCTCAAAAGAGATTCACTCATTACCATTAATCCGCAGCCAGCTCCTAGCTAGCCTTCACATAACAACTGACTGAAGTATAGATACCAAATGTAGCTATTCTGTCTTCAAAGCCTTTGAAAGATGTATACGGCTCACGGGGCCAGTACATGTCGTAACGAAAAAGCAGCAAATACAGGGTGACATAGTTGGTCATCGTGCCAAGTACATAACAGAAGTAGCGTTGATAATACGGAAAAATCGGTCGTTTTTATTAAAAACTTGCTGGCGCCCAGGTTTATGTAGAAGCTCACTAGCCACGGTCTCGGAAGTTAAACTAAACAACGTGCCAGATTTCATATCCGATACTTATAAACATTGCATTAAACACCTGGTCCCTAGCACGAAACAGAGGGTGTCTACATCCGGATCCGATTCGACATTACCACATGTCTTTAAGCTGAATAAGCGAACCCCTTACCGGTCCATCGTCGCAGGGACGATCTAGGGACGGAATCAATCGTTATTGAAGGTACTATCAAAAAGATATATATTGCTTCCTTTCATAAAGGTAGTCCAAATGCAGCCCATATAAAGATCTTAGAAGCAAAAGTAAACACGGTGGATTAGGCGAACGTTTAAGGTGACAGTCTAATAGGCAACACGGTTGTAACATGTACGAAAAAATTAGAAATATAGAAAAAAAGTATCTCATTGTTAGATGTAAATAGGTGTACCTTGAGCGCCTAACAGCAAACCATGATTTCGTCGTTCGTCAAGTCCAAAATGTCATAGTAGTTTTCTTTACTTTTTTGAAGAAGGGTTCCAAAGGGCATCCAAAGGAATTGATTGATATTAGCTCCTGGTCCATTGTTGCCTCATCCACGAACTTCTTATGCGTCCTAAGGCAACCTGACAGAATTAACTGTATGACAGTGTCAACAAGGCCCATCGTTGATAGGACTGTAAAAGAAACCCGCAGGGAGTTAATTTAAACAGACACTTGCCTTCAACATGACGTGTTAAATCTTGTATCCTAAACGTTATACCCTGTTATTTAGAGAGCTACAAATTAATTCAAAGGATCCTGTTAGCAGCAAAATGAAAAGCATTCTATAATTCTATAGAGCTTGTATTCTTCTACACGACAGGCGTGTATTCAGCATTAAATATGGATATGACATTATTTTTTTCGTAAATCTAATATGCATGAAGAATACGAGATATGCTTGTATCTATAAATAAAAAAAAAAAATAGATAAAGGATCAACTGCTATCTGTCGGTTAAGGCTTGAACGACGAACGACTTTGTGCTTCACATAATACGCACTTCGAATACTGTCACTCATTTAACGAGATGGTCAAATTCAAAGCGAGACTTCAATGTCAAATATCAAATTTTACTAAATTGTACGCACCCCTCCAGGCAGTCGTATCAACGAGGTACTGATAAGCTTATTGATATGAATCTAAATCTTTATACGTAATGAAGGATATTTTCAATGGTACCTCTAATGGCCGATGCATACACGAGTACATACCGTGCGAAGTTCATTGACGAGGCAATCGGCTGATTACGCAGCTATCTTTCGAAACAATGAGGACCTCCACCAGAACGACATGACTCATCATTAAGCAATTATGGTGATTTTAATTGAATATTGAACTATTTAGACTTTGAATAAAGAAGGGTATGGTAAAAATCAGGAAAAAGGCAAACGAAGAAAGTGTGCAATGGGGCGGACAGCCATTAGAAGCAGCGAGTAGAACGCACACACATGTACCTACGAAATATGCTACTATTTTGCTTACGCTCTGAGCCGTCTACCGCTCCTTCAGAAGCGGAAGAAGACTGTGGCTGAAGTTATGGGTGGGTATCAAGCAATGTCGGTATGACTGAGGATTAGTGAACGTGACAATTACATTGAATCGCCGGATCTATTGAGCTTTACGCATTATG